GAGGCTGAGGCACAAGAATCGCTTGAACTTGGAAGGCAGAGGTTGGAGTAAGCCAAGATCATGCCATTGCACTCCAGCCTGGGTAACACAGCAAGACTCTGTCTCAAGAAAAATAATAATAATAAAAAAACCTCAATGGTGAAAAATACAAACAAATAATCCAATTAGAAAATCATGAAAAGATATGAACATACATTTCACTGAAGAGGAAATAAGCAAATAAGCACATGAAAAGATGTTCAACACTCATTTGCTTCACTAGATGCAAATTAAGACCACGATGTGGTATCACTACACACTTATTACCATAGCTAAAATAAAAGACATAGTGACAACACCAAATGGTGACGAGGATGCAGAGAAACTGGACGTCTGATTAAGTGCTGCTGGGAAGGTAAAATCTTACAGCCACTCTGGAAAGCAGTTTGGTAGTTTCTGATAAAACTAAACATGCAATGACCATACAATTCAACAATTACATTTCAGATAAATTAAAATGTATGCCCATTCAGAAACTTGTACGTAATTGTTCATAGCAATTTTACTTGTAATAGTCGGTAGCTGGAAATAATCAATATGTCCTACAATAAGTGAATGGTCAAACTCTGGTACATCCATCCTATGGAATACTACTCAGTAGTAAAAATGAACTGTTGGCCGGGCACAGTGGCTCACCATGTTATCCCAGCATTTTGGGAGGCCGAGGCGGGCGGATCATGACGTCAGGAGTTCAAGACCAGCATTGCCAATATGTTGAAATCCCATCTCTACTACTAATACAAACATTACCCGGGCATGGTGGCATGCGCCTGTAGTCACAGCTACTCGGGAGGCTGAAGCTGGAAAATCGTTTGAACCTGGGAGGCAGAAGTTGCAGTGAGCCGAGACACTGCACTCCAGCCTGGGCGACAGAGTGAGACTCCATCTCAACAACAACAACAACAACAACAACAACAACAATGAACTATTGATACACAAATATCAATATTTTGGAGGAATCTCCATGGAATTATGCTGAGTGAAATAAGCCCCTAAAACATTATATACTATAAGATTTCATTTGTATGGCATTGTAGAAAAGACAAAATTGTAGAAATGAAAAAGAGATTAGTGGTTGCCAGAGGTTAGGAATGGTGGATGGGAGGAGAGTGACTATTATTAAAAATGAGTAGCACAAGGGATAGCATTGTGGTGGTGGTGATGAAAATGTTCTTTACCTTTTTGTTTTCCTGAGAGGGATTCTCACTCTGTCACCTAGGCTGTAGTGCAGTGACATGATCTCGGCTCAGCGCAACCTCTGCCTCCCGGGTTCAAGCGATTCTCCTGTCTCAGCCTCCCATGTAGCTGGGAATACAGGTGCATACCACCATGCCCAGCTAATTTTTGTGTTTTTAGTAGATACGGGGTTTCTCCATGTTGGCCAAGCTGGTCTCGAACTCCTGACCTCAAGCAATTTGCCAACCTCGCCCTCCCAAAGTGCTAGGATTACAAGCGTGAACCACTGCACCTGGCCATGTTCTGTATCTTTTTTTTCCCTGAAATATAAGCTTTATTTTAAATTTAAAGCAATATTAAAAATAAACTCTTTTTTTTTTTTTACAAATTATAATCAAGCACTCAAAACAATTTAGGAATGTTAAACACTAATTCTTAATTGAAAATAATGACATCCATAGAATACATCCTGGTGTTGGCCAACATGAAGTTTACTTAATATTAGTATTTCTTATATGCTTAACCATTCATCCTTCCTAAAATTCAATGACAACAATGATTTGACTTTATAAGGTGAAGTCTTTTATGTAATTCCCTAGAGATAACCTTTTCAAATACAAAACATTTATACCACCAAGGAAATTATAAAAACATATATAAAGTATACTGAAGGATGTGATTTAAAGGCTATCTGTATATGTAGATGCGTTTAACCTTAGAAAGCACATATACACATCAAAACACTTTCACCATTCAGATGCCATTACATTCTCTTACATTACAAAGCAAACAGCAGCTGCATAAACGTTGTTCTATTATGTGTTAACTGAAAAAAATAGATACTCCACAAAAAGATTTTGAAGACACATGGAGTGGAATGTGCCCGCATTAAGAGCAGAACTTTTACAGGACCGCCTGATCCAGCCGGCTCCCAGCGACCACTGAAAACAGCTGCTACCCTCAGAACGACAAGATGGTCTTGTTAATGATTTCACTGGACTCTCGAATCTCATTCTCTTTGACCACCAGCAGAGGCGAAACCTGATGATGTCACCATGGGTTGGCTTGGCCAGAAGTGGATAATCTTGAAGTCGTAGACACACCTTCGAAGCATAGCAATCTTTGGTTTCTTTAATAACAATAGCAATTAATAATTCTTTTCCTCCCAGGCACAGTGGCTCACGCCTGTAATCCCAACATTTTGGGAGGCCGAGGTGGGTGCATCACCTGAGGTCAGGAGTTCGAGATCAGCCTGGCCAACATGGTGAAATCCTGTCTCTACTAAAAATACAAAAATTAGCCGGGCATAGTGTTGTGCACCTGTAATCCCAGCTACTCAGGAGGCTGAGGCAGGAGAATTGCTACAACCCAGGAGGCAGAGGTTGCAGTGAGCCAAGATCACACCATTGCATCCAGGGCAACCAGAGTGAACCTCTGACTAAATACATACATATATGCATACATACATACACACATACATACAATAATTCTTCTCCTCTTACAGCAGTTACAGCATCAGAAGGTAGCTTCATGGGTTAATTTCTCAAGAGAATACCCATTTTTTTTTCTGCATTTTCAGCAAGGTTTTCTTCTTGTAAAACCTCAAGGGCTGTGATGCCCACTCAGCAGCCTAGTGGATTGCCACTGTATGCAGGCCCATGTTCGCCTGGCTTAATGGTCAGCATTATGCCATTGTCCTACAGTACTGCAGGCACGGAGTATCAGCCACCAGAAAGGGCCTTTCCAAGGAGGCTATATCAGGTCTGACATTTTCATGATCAACAGTTAGTCATCTACCAGTTCTGGCCAATCCTATCTGTATTTCATCAGCAATGAACAGAACCAAACTGGGAGCACGAGATGGGATGAGGGTAAGTTAATATACTACAAAGTTTACTGTTTTTATGGAGATTCAGCTGGTCTGTCCCTTCCTTCCTTCCTTCCTTCCTTCCTTCCTTCC